TTCTTAAACATCTTTATACATAGGTCCGTACTTGTGGCCACAAGTCTGTGAGGAGACTGGAATCATTTCCAGAAAAACCAACAAGCTGGGATATTTTATAGCTAGTAGTCCTAGCTAACTGGAAACAAAAGATTGTTTCTGTTGGTCTGGCGACTGCATGTCTAGACGTGGATTACAGAAGTGACTTGGGGAGGTATGTTTTGTACTAGGACCCATGTTTCCCCTCAAGTCTGCTCCTTGTAGCTCAGTGAAGAAATGCCATTGTTGTTATCTACTGTGCCTGCTCTGTGCTGAGCACTGATGCTCAGGTGAGTAGGACTCAGTCCTGAGAAAGTTCTCACATCTAACTAAACACATGTGGTGAGGCTTTTGGAGGATTAAGTTTTTTTTTTTTTAAAGATTTATTTATTTAGAATACAACACCCTGCCTCCATGTACACATCAGAAGAGGGTACCAGATCTCATTACAGATGGTTGTGACCCACCATGTGGTTGCTGGGAATTGAACTCATGACCTCTGGAAGAGCAGTCAGTGCTCTTAACCTCTGAGCCATCTCTCCAGCCCCGAGGATTAAGTTTTAAGAGAGCAGAGACACACAAGCAATCCTGTAATGTTAATCATATATGCATATATGTGTGTGTACATGTTGGAACCTGTTAGTTCCAAATACAGGAATGTGTAAATGAAGTGGTGTTTCCTGCAAGAATCAGCGAAGAAGTTATGGAGGTCAGCACAATAGAGATTTGTTAAATTTTACCTGTATTCTTAGCACTGGGTGTGTGACAGACATCTGGGAATACCTTGTAACACTGAGCTATGCAGAACATAGAATAGTTACCTGGGGACTTTCCAGACTCAGAGAGTGGCTTGTATGGAGATCCAGCCTGTGCTGTCAGTGCCTCTGGTCTCCAGATCGCGAGGAGTCTTGCGCTACCTCACCTGTTCTTTCAAATGCTAGCCGTGATGATTTTCAGAGGGATTCAGATTTGACATGAACAGCAGTAATGATGCCTTCAGTTTTCAAAGTGGTCTCACATCCATTGTCTCAGTGCTTTACAAACCATGTTCACTTGACAGTGGTGGATCTAGAGCCAGTCCCTGCCCGAGTTTATTAATAGCAGTCTTCCTCATTAAAAACATACCAAATGAATAAGCAGAATTTCCTAAATTTCTAATTTTTCACGTCTCTGTTTTACTTGTTGAAAATAAAGTTCCAGCCAGGCAGTGGTGGCACATACCTTTAATCCCAGCACTTGGGAGGCAGAGGCAGGTGGATCTCTGTGAGTGTGAGTTCAGCTTAGTCTACAAAATGAGCTCCAGGACAGCCAGGGCTACACAGTGAAACCCTGTCTCAAAAGAGAGAGAGAGAGAGAGGGAAGGAGGGAGGGAGGGAGGGAGAGGGAGAGGGAGGAGGAGGAGGAGGAGGAAAGAAAAAGCCAATAAAACAAGTTTTACATAAATAAAATTGGATATGGATTTTTTTAGATGCAGAGGGCCTCTTTTTTTAAAAGCCATATTTGCTCCTAGTGAAGTTTGCTTATTATGTGCAGTACAGTATTATGCAACATTTCACAAAGATGAATACAAGTCTTCTAGGCTCTTTGAAATTTTAGCTTCAGAGCAAAGTTGAAAATCCCATTTTTTGATTCTACAGCTGTCCTATGAGGTAACAGGGACGAAAGGGAAACTGATTAAGGAGAGAGATGATATGTCTGTGAACATGGGGCTAGTAAGTGTCCAGTATCCTGTTCAACTCTGCATTTAATGTTATTGGGCTCTAGAAATAAAAGGAAAAATGAGTCATAGCACCTGTTACATGAATTGAGGTAGTGATTTGACTACCATCATAGAGCCACAGTAAGGGCTTAAGCAGATAGAAGTTTCTTTCCCTTTCATATATAAACCAAGTATACCATCATTTGTTCAGCCATACTTCTTGTCCTGCTTCTGTCATAGACTGTGATGGCTGCTCCTTCCTTAACCATCATGTCCAGTCTGGCTGTCAGGAGGTGATGGGGAAGTAGCAGACATGCTTCTTTCCTTTAAGAATATTTTCAAGATGCCAGGTGGTGGCATGCACCTTTGATGCCAGCATTTGGGAGGCAGAGGCAGGTGAATCTCTTGTGAGTTCAAGGCCAGCCTGGTCTACAGAGCAAGTTCCAGGTCAGCTAGTGCTACATAGTGAGACTCTGTCTCAAAAAAAGCAACAACAACAACAACAACAAAATACAAAACAATTTCTTTTTTTAAACCAGATGCTATAACTATTGTATACTGGGCTTTACAAACATAGTTTTATTTTTACAGTTAAAGTTGGTATAATCAATTTAATTCTTATAATATACTGGTTGTCAAAGATGTAGCTTAAGGAATTAGACACTTAGAAAGATTATTGACTTACCCGAGTGACTGGTGACTTCCAGAGATAGTATTTGAACTAAAGATGGTCAGAACCCGTATAACTTCAGGGTTTCACTATGTACCTGGCTGTACTGGAACTCACTCTGTATACCAGTTTGGCCCCGAAGCCACAGAGATTTGCCAGCCCTTGCCTGAGTCCTGGGATTAAAGGTGTGTACCACCACTGCCCAGCATCAGTTTTCTATCTGTGAAATAAGGATAACATTGTTGACATTCTTGTACAGACATGGTTAATTTCTTTTGTGGTTCATTTGGATAACCAAAGTATAATCCTGTGGGAACCTAAGGTGGGCCACACTTCCCTGTGCCACCTCTGTAAATCCAGGTCAGTCACAGCAGTGCTGAGGTTTGTTAGTAGTCATTGTCCCTAGCACTTTTCTCCTAGCCTTCCGTCCTTTCTTGCCTGACTATCCTTGTGCTTTTGGGGTTGGCTTCCAAAGCACAGCACTGTTCATGTACATCCCTTTAAGATATCTCTAACAATTCCCCATGGCGTTCATTTAGGTCTGATCTCAAGCAATGAAATTACATAAACTACAGTTAGTATAGCTCAGTGATAGGTCATGTGCTTGCATGCATGCAAACAAAAAAACCCCCACAAAAGTGTTTTGTTTTGTTTTTTAATAGAAACTAGCATCTGGTGGTATATGCAGTTAAGCGTTTGCTGTGCTGTGCCCCGGCTAAGAACAGAAGTATAGTGTCACAATAATACTCTGATAATACAGTCAGGCAGATGTAGGCCAATGTGGAAAAGCGAGTGTGTGTGTGTGTGAAGAGGGATACTGGAGTCAGCTTTCTTTGTTCTCCTAAGGCAGCACCTCTGAAGAGACCTGGCTACAGAAAGCCTCCTGCAGTCCTCAGAGGCTCCTTCCCTCTCTGCTTCCAGACCTCAGCCTTCTCCCCTGTGCTGACTGCAGTGTTAACTGTCATGGTGAAGAATCCTAGCTGTGTGTGGCCAGGGAACTGCTGATCTTATGGTTGACTTATCACTCATGGTAGGGCCTTGAACCCTGCTGTGGCCACTCCTGTTGAAACTCCAGTAATACAGAAGAGCCTGCTCTAGATAAATATTTATTCCAGTTAAGCAATTCTGGATTTTAATTCCTGAAGACTATCTTTTCTGGCTAAGTAACTCTGGAAGACAAACCTTAATGTTTCTGGCTTCATATTTTTCTCACACAAAGAATCATGATTAAAGTGCTCTGTATTAACCACTTTCCATACGACATTTTGTTCAGTGCTCAGAACATTTTGTGGCATTGGTTCTGTCCTCAGGGTATTGTATTTGTAAGTCCCTTCCTGTGCCCTCCCCCCGTCTCTCCATACTGGATGCCCGCTCTCTTCGGCTAACCTGGAAAGCGCTGCTCTGGCAGGAACAGTACTGGGACAACTGTTGTGCACAGGAGACGGAAGCTACATGAGTCTTAGGTTTTCCTTTTGGAACAGGGTCTTACAATATAACCTAGGTTGACCTTGAACTTGTAACCTTCCTGCTAGTTTCCTGGGTGCTAGGATTGGCTCCCCTGACTCTCTCCTGGTGCTGGGAATTCAGTGGGCCCTCTCAATACTAAGAACATGCTTTATCACTGAGCTGTACCCCAACCCCCAATATTCTTTAAAGATGACAGAGCAAGTCTCCAGTTATTATTGGAAACAGTGTGATATCAACTCAAGCATGGCCACAGCACCCAACAGAACAGAATACAACTACAGAAACATCTTACCTGTGGCTATTTAGCATACGACCTAAGTGACAATGCACTGCTGTGGTGCTGGGTCTTTTGGCCTGATTGTTCACGTGAAAAAAAGATGACTCTTGACTCTTGTTTCATAGCAAATTGATTGTGTGGCCTGCTGCCAAGCCTGATCCCCAGAATCACTTAGTGGAAAGAAAATCAATCCCCTCAGTTTGTCCTCTGACTTATACTCATGTACCATGTCATGTGCATGTACACACACACACACACACACACACACACACTTTCAAAGCAATCAAACAAAAAGCACCTTAGGTTGAAGACATAGCTAAGAGATAGAGGACATACCAAGTTTAATAATCAGTACCGAAGAAAATATTTTTTGCTATAGCATAACTATCAGTTTGCAAATTGAGAAACAGGGCTCACAATGGGAGGTAAGCCTCAAAACAAGATAGTGACAGAAGACAGTCATATGTAGTCTTGTCAAAATAATACCAGCTCTGTTCTTGTACTGGCCACTGCTGAGGTGAACTGCCTATTACTTCCCATGAGAACTTTAACATCTCAAAAGGGTGACCTGAGGGAAAAATGATAAACAGTTTTACTTGAAAGTTTGCTTTTTAAAAATATGAACACGTTATGGTTAAATTTCTTCTTTGGGGGGGATTTTTTGTTTGTTTGTTTTGGGCATAACGTTTCATCGTGTGGCTCTGGATGGCCTGGAACTCCCTATATAGACCAGGCTACCCATGAATATACAGAAATCCACCTATCCCTGCCTCCTGAGTGGAGGTGGAATGCCTCACCACCATGCTGGGCAGATTAAATTTCTTACATAATGCTTGGATTTATTTTCTTTCTCTTTGTTTTGTATTCAGCCTAAAAAGAAGAAAGCAAAAGTGGGTGCCATTAATCTGGGGACAGATTATGAATATGGTGTCTTAAATATCCACCTGACTGCTTATGACATGACTGTGGCAGAAAGCTATGCCCAGTATGTCCACCGCCTCTGCAACCAGCTCTCCATCAAAGTAGAGGAAAGGTAGGAAGGATGCCTTTGTTTGGGATGTGTCTGGGTGTCATGCTCCACTTTTCTGTCAAGTTAGGTTTAGGAAGAATGATGTACATGTAAAAAAGTTACTCTTAAGTTCCATTCCTGCCAGAGTCATAGTGCCAACCAGTCTCCTCTCCTCCCACACGAGGCTCTGGCAACCACTGATAAGTCAGCTAGGCCAGTTCTTAAATTTATTTACCTAGTTGTTGTATATGTGCTGCTGCTCACACATGCCTCAGGGTGCCTGCATATGGCACCATGTGTGCGTGGAGGTCAGAGGTCAATTTTCAGGAGTCAGTTCTTTTGTTCCCTTATGTGGGTCCCTGGATGTAACTCTGGTCATCAGACTTGGTGGCAGGTGCCTTCTCTGCTGGGCCTTCATCTCACTGCCCCTTGTTCGTTTTTTGTTGTTATTTTTTAAAGATTTATTTATTTATTATGTATATAATGTTCTGTCTGCATGTTTGCTTGCATGCCAGAAGAGGGCATCAGATCTCATTATAGATGGTTGTGAGCCACTAATGTGGTTTCTGGGAATTGAACTCAGGACCTCTGGAAGAAAAATCAATGCTCTTAACCACTAAGCCATCTCTCCAGCCCTATTACTATTGTTTTGTGTCTTCAGAATATCATATAAATGGAGTCACACAGTGGATAGCTGTTTATATCTGACCTTTTCACTTAGCATAATGTGTTTTAATTCATTCACACTTTTTGCAAGTTGTTTTTAAAATTTTTGGCAAAATATATAAAAAACTAATCATTTTACTACTTTCTAAAAATGTTCATTGCAGTTATGTATTTATTGTGTATGAGTGGGTCTGGGGGTGAATATGCCAGAGTACAAGAGTATGCAGGTCAGAGCACAACTTGCAGGAGTCAGTTCTCTCTCCACCGTGTGGGTCCCAGGGCTCAGTTCATCAGGCTTGGTGACAGTCACCTTTACCTGCTGAGACCTCCCACCAGCTCCATGTTAATTATCTTTAAATGCGTGTATGCTCTCTGATGGGATACACACTCATAATGTACTGTTGTTACCACCACCTGTGTTTGTGACTCTTCAGTTTGTAAACTGAAGTCTGCACTTAGTCAGCAGTAGTTCTGCTTTCTCCGCCTCTGCTTAGTCTATAACTGTTGCCCACTCCCCCAGACTCCCCCAGAACTAGAATTATACAGAATATACATTTGTGACTGGTTTATTTTGCTGAGCATAATGTCTTCAGAATTTAACCATGTTGTAGAATGTCAGAGTTTCCTTTTAAGACAGAATACTCCATTATATACCATATTTTGCTTATCCATCCATCTATCAATAGATGATTTTGTTTAGGTTTTTTTAACCTTGTTTTTATTGATCCCCACTGCCCTTCCCTCCTCCCCTCTCCCCTTCCACCCTCTTCCATGCTCTCCATGCTCCCCATGCTCCCGATTTACTCAAGAGATCTTGTCTTTTTCCCCTTTCTAGGCGGATCCATGAATGTCTCTCTTAGGGTCCTCTTTGTTACCTAGGTTTTCTGGGGTTGTGGCCTGTAGATTGGTTATCCCTTTACTTTATGTCTAATACCCACTTATGAGTGAATACACATTATATTAGTCTTTCTGGGTTACCTTACCCAGCATGTTTTGTTTTTCTAGCTCCATCCATTTTCCTGCAAATTTCAAGATGTCATTATTTTTTACCACTGAGTAGTACTCCATTGTGTGAATGTACTACATTTTCTTTATCCATTTTTTCAGTTGAGGGACTTCTAGGTTGTTTCCAGTTTCTGGCTGTTACAAATAATGCTGCTATGAACATAGTTGAGCAGGTGTCCCTGTGGTATGAATGTGCATCCTTTGGGTATATGCCCAAAAGTGGTATTGCTAAATCTTGAGGTAGATTGATTCCCAATTTTCTGAAAAACCACCATACTGATTTCCAAAGTTGCTGTACAAGTTTGCATTCCCACCACCAATGGAGGAGTGTTCCCCTTATTCCACATCATCTCCAGCATAAGCTGTCATCAGTGTTTTTGATCTTGGCCATTCTGACAGGTGTAAGATGGTATCTCAGAGTTGTTTTGATTTGCAATTCTCTGAATAGTAAGGATGCTGAGCAATTCCTTAAGTGTCTTTCAGCCATTTGATATTCCTCTGTTGATAGTTTTCTGTTTAGATCTGTACCCCATTCTTTAATTGAATTATTCCGTCTTTTGATGTCTAGTTTCTTGAGTTATTTGTATATTTTGGATATCAGTCCTCTGTTAGATGTGGGGTTCAGTTTTGTTTTCATTTGTTTGTTTTTTGAGGTGGGATTTTTCTGTGTAGCTTTCTTTGGGGGCTGTCCTGGAACTTGTTCTGTAGACCAGGCTGGCCTCGAACTCACAGAGATCCGCCTGCCTCTGCCTCCCAACTGCTAGGATTAAAGAGTGCACCACCACCGCCAGGCAACTTTATTGTTTTTAAAATCATTTTTCTGTAATGTTTTTTTGTTTTTTATTTAAAAATTATATTAACTTGTTGATATCTATGTGAAAGCCTGCTAGAATTTTTAATATTATGTAGATCAGTTTGGGGGAAATTGAAGTCAGAATAATTTTCTCTGTTGATTCAGGCATCTTTTGCTTGCTCTCCTTTTTATGTATTCTCTGGATTTTCTGGAAAACTGTAGGAGAAGGGAGCTAACATTTACTAACTGCCTGTTCCCAGGGCAGGTTCTCTTCATACCTTATCTTGGTGTTTCTGTTGGCATACATGTCCTATAGTTTCCCTTAAATAACATTAAGTTACTTGATTAGAAATGGCTTTCCTTTTAAGTTCTTATTCAACTTAATTATGCCAAGGAGACCTTCTCAGAACGGCGCTGGTATGTTCTGAACACTGATATAGCACTTCCCAATCTTTGTAACAGAGAGGGGACCTTGGGCTTGGAATCTTTGGCAAGATATATTGCTAGAATTTATGACATGGATTTTTTTCCACTGTGTTTGTTTTTAATTTGCTTTCTACTTATGTCAGCCTACATGGGTTTTCCTTAACAATCATGACATAAAGTCAGTTTTCTGTGGTGTCGTTTACTTCCAGTGAGCGTGTTCTGTGAGCTTTGACTAATGTATACAAATTGATTCCATTATAGTCAATATAGAACATTTCTGTCATCCTGAGTTCTCTGTTCCTGTAGTCAACTCCTTCCCATCGAAAGTCCTTGTTAACTTTTAATCTGCTTCCTTTCCCTGTAGTTTTGGCTTTTTTCAGAATGTCATATAAATGAAAATACAGCATTTTCCCCTTTACATATGGAGTTCTTCACTTAGAATAATATAGTCAAGATTTACCCATATTTGCCTGTATCAAGCACCTTGCTCCTTTTTGTTGCTCAGTAGCATTTCATGAAAAGACTGTGTTGCAGTTTGTTCATTTACCAATTGAAGGACTGTTGTGCTTTTGGTTTTTAGCAATTATGAGTAAAGCCACTACAAATAGGTGGGTTTCTGTGAGAACAGAAGTGGTTCGTGGAGACTCTGCATGCTTTTCTAAAGCAGCTGTACCGTGTTTGTTCGTGGAGACTCTGCATGCTTTTCTAAAGCAGCTGTACCGTGTTTGTTCGGGGAGACTCTGCATGCTTTTCTAAAGCAGCTGTACCGTGTTTGTTCGTGGAGACTCTGCATGCTTTTCTAAAGCAGCTGTACCATGTCTTGTTCATGGAGACTCTGCATGCTTTTCTAAAGCAGCTGTACCGTGTTTGGTTCATGGAGACTCTGCATGCTTTTCTAAAGCAGCTGTACCGTGTTTGGTTCATGGAGACTCTGCATGCTTTTCTAAAGCAGCTGTACCGTGTTTGTTCGTGGACACTCTGCATGCTTTTCTAAAGCAGCTGTACCGTGTTTGTTCGGGGAGACTGCATGCTTTTCTAAAGCAGCTGTACCGTGTTTGTTCGTGGAGACTCTGCATGCTTTTCTAAAGCAGCTGTACCGTGTTTGTTCGTGGAGACTCTGCATGCTTTTCTAAAGCAGCTGTACCGTGTTTGTTCGTGGAGACTCTGCATGCTTTTCTAAAGCAGCTGTACCGTGTTTGTTCGTGGAGACTCTGCATGCTTTTCTAAGGCGGCTGTACCGTGTTTGTTCGTGGAGACTCTGCATGCTTTTCTAAAGCAGCTGTACCGTGTTTGTTCATGGAGACTCTGCATGCTTTTCTAAAGCAGCTGTACCGTGTTTGTTCGTGGAGACTCTGCATGCTTTTCTAAAGCAGCTGTACCGTGTTTGTTCGTGGAGACTCTGCATGCTTTTCTAAAGCAGCTGTACCGTGTTTGTTCGTGGAGACTCTGCATGCTTTTCTAAAGCAGCTGTACCATGTCTTGTTCGTGGAGACTCTGCATGCTTTTCTAAAGCAGCTGTACCGTGTTTGTTCATGGAGACTCTGCATGCTTTTCTAAAGCAGCTGTACCGTGTTTGTTCATGGAGACTCTGCATGCTTTTCTAAAGCAGCTGTACCGTGTTTGTTCGTGGAGACTCTGCATGCTTTTCTAAGGTGGCTGTACCCTTGCTCCCTCACCAGCAGTGCTTGACTTCTACATTGCTCTGCGTCTCACATTTCTTCTTAAAACTAATTTTTTAAAGTGAGATGATATTTTTCTAAAGGATAAATAACAGTTTAGGTAGTTTGTTATGGCAAGATTGTAAGTAGATGCATACCATGTGGGTATACAAAAATGACCATTTCTTGCTTTTTTGATATATTCCCATTTTACAGACCAGGAAACCAAGGACCTGAAAGACTAAAGTCATAGAACAAGGAAGTTCTCTGGATTTTAAATCAGTTTTGTCTGGTTTCCATATTTTCAGTTATGTTAGGTCTAAGCCAGGTTTGAACTTTTATACCTTCGTAATGTAGAGTGCAGCTGTTAAAAGTGATGATGGACTTTAGCTCTTAAAGCAGCAGCACCTTCATTCTTTTAAGCCTGAACGTGGGATCTAGCTTTTTTGTTTGCCTAGGAGCTCCAGATGTTCTTT